ATGAATTTAAAAAAATCAAAGGAGAACATATTTTGAGTGTTCATTCAAATACTCATTTTTTTAGTTTATTTTAATTAGGGTATGGACTCCAAATACTTAAGAATATAATGTTTAACGATGTACACGAAAAATATTAAAATTATATTTTTCTCATCAAAAAAAATTTAAATTATATAATATTTAACACACTATTTTGCAACTGACTCAGTAAAGCATTTTTAGACAGAGAAAAATTATTTTTTAACTGACTCAGAAAATAATAATTTTTATCACTCAAAAATTAATTTGTTTATGCAAAAGTATTTGTCATCCTTACAAAAATTTCTAGACTCAAATAAAATAAAAAGGTCTTCGGAATCTTCACTTTACTTCAAAAGCTTGCGTAGGGGTGAATTTTTGTCGTCGTAGATTTCTTGATATGTCTCTTGCTTTTCTCGTAACGAAAAAAAATTCGTTCAACGTTGATATTAATTGTCTTGTTTGTCATTTATCAAAACAAAAAAATATTCCAGAGTAAAATATAAAAGGGGTTTGAACTCATGTCCAACAATTTCAATAGATATATTCCACTGATCTTCATCCATCGTACATAAATATGCTCTAAGATCAAATGAATACTTTTCTTTGTTATAGTGCAACTCCTCTACCAAAAAGTTATTTTGATATCTACTACGTGGATTGTCATCTCAAATAGGCATGACACTAAATTCTTTTAAAGACCATCCAGTTTAATTGAGCAAATTTTCAATCTCAATTAGACACAAATTATTTAGGTCTTCTTGTGAGATTATAAGTTGTGTAAAAAAAGAAGTAGAAAATTTTATTTTATTCATATAATGCATTTCATATAGATTAATACATTAAAAAACTACCTTTTTATTGACGAACAACTTTCTTAGCAGATTCTCATATCTTAACTTAGTAACCTGTTTTATACCTTTAATAAAAATTTTATCATCACTCAATAACCCCAATGCTTCACATGTTTCCTCGAATGTGTTATGTATAACATTGTTAATTGTTCTCAAATTCTTATAACTTGTACATCCTCGATGAATAGTAAATGATATTCTCTAGTAATACAACTCTCTGGTTTCTATATGCACATATTGTAGCCTACCAATTGATAGTTTTTGTTGCCACACTTTGTGGTTGCACACAAAATATTTTGGAAACTCTTTGCATACGTCAAATTTTATGCTACATTATACTGTGTATTGAAAATCATCCAAACTTCAAACCTTTTTTAGCTTTTGTTGGTCTTTAAAGATTACAAATTCCAGCCTTGGGAGATGGAATTTCACCTTCAATAGTGATGGCCACATGTGGTGTATATCAAAAGAAAGAATTCTCTACGAGACTTCACATAGAGATACGTAATGACAATCATAATACTTCTCTGTTTCATCATACACCATATTATCAACAATGTCAAAGTTATATTGTGTAACTAAAACATCTACTTTATCTAGTCTTTTATTTACATATTTAAAGAGATATTTGATTGAATTACATTTATTCTAATATTTAATGTTGATTGAACTTGATACCTCATCAAGAGTTATGAGCTCTATGGCATAACAAATTGGTTATCCAAAACGATATTCTTTCTCATTTTGGTGACACCTATGTTTCTTCTTTTGTATATCGAGTAGTCATTCTTATCAAACGATGTCTTATCAACAAATTTTTTTGAAAAATATTTCATGTGTTTATCATTGTCCATACATAGAGATCTTGGTCAACTATGCCACATGGATTATGCATTATCAATGAAGTTACAAACTCGTACAATCTATGATATTTTTCTTTATTAGGAATCTTTAGACATATCACACAATCAATTGATTCGAGTAACTGAAGCTTATCTCACTTGTGTAACCATATTAAGATATGTGCATGAGGCAAATTTTTATTTTGAAAGTCAACAGTGTTCAAACATGCACAAAATTATTATATTCAAATCATGATATTTTATAGTGAATGTCCAAATTACCACAATTTTATTGTTTAAATGATACTAATATAGTAAACTTTAAATCTACCTCTAATTACTTTACAAAACATAAGTTTTATTTTTAAGATTCTAGATTCAATGTCAGGCGTGTCTTCAGCTTTACACTTCGTTATTGTCATATATGTTTCTCTAGCCATTAGGGATTACATGCTATAGCAATAAATAAATCTAGATAACCAAATCCTTAACAAATGGCCATTACATCGTATTAGTTGTTAAACATATATCTCATTCCCTTATGAATGTAGATGATAGGATAATTCGTTGCTCAATGGCTACCGATTCAGTATCATCTTTGATCACAGTACAACTTCATGTATGCCACTCATAATTTGCTTCCTAACTTGATCATAGTTTAACCACATGCAATGGATTCTTTGTAATTCAACTATCGTGTATGCATCAACCAAAAATTATAAATATAATTTTTGTGCAAGCGACACAATACCACCATCATTTTCTCTTTCTTGTATTTGAAATACAATGAATTCTCTCATTGATACTCTTTGGCGCTTTATATTTTTTGACAAAAAAATGTTTCCCTTATATGATATTTTCTTGATATTCATCCTCCACAAAAGCAAACAACAAAAGATTACTGCAGGGATATGAAAGCAGTGTGTGTCTCATGGACTTTAGCAAGAATTCATCTCTTTTTATGATGATGTCTCTTTCTTCATTAAATGAATCAAGATATCTAACTATTAGAGCAACAACTTCATGTATTGTGGAGATATATAATTTCTTGAGTCTCTAGTTCTACTTCTCAACAGCCTCAATGATACATTAGAAGTGGGCTCATTATTCATGAAGTCTCTAATTCTCTTAAAAATATGTGTTAAAACATTATGCTCATCTATCATGTTTTTCAAATCATCGATTAAACTTCTATCAGCAGCCAAAGAATTATTCTTCATACTATATGAAACAAATAGAACAATTTGTTTTTGTTAGTGTGTTAATAATGTTCCATGAATATTATATTGTCAAGCACATGTAAATAATACATACATATATTCAAAGGGTGCAATAAAGATGGTATGTGATGATGATTGTGCCCGCTAAGCGTAAATTGCTGCTCGACCATTGTTGTTAGATGCATCAATATTTCCATCCATATACGCGAATGAAAACATATTTTTGTATTTTCTTAAATTTTTCATGGTAATGAGAACTCCCCATACCAAGTCCATAAAATAAATTATAGAGCAAATCTAAGGGTTTAGAGAGGAGACAGTTAAACTTTTCTTTTTATGTAACAAACTGAAAATTCTATATGTTCTGAATCTTTATTTAATTGAATCTTTCTTCATGTTGTAACAAAGTTTTCCAAAATTCACAAATAAATGTGGGATATCCAAAATGGATGATCTCAAAAGCAAAAATAAAATATGATAAAGCTAATCTTTTATACATATTTTAGTATTCCATACAACTGGCATGTTGCATATATAATCTAAATATACTTTTAATTTTTGTTTCTCTAAATGCAGAATTATCTAAACATGATTCCACTCATGTGTCTTAAACAGATGAACCTTCTACCTCGACATCTAAATTTAAAGTGTTTCTTTGGTGAACCTTTAGTACATATCATTTTTGTGAACCTTCTCACATAAAAAATCTTTTTTATTTTTTAATCTAAAAAATAGATGCTTATTTAAGTAATAAGGAAATGCCTAGTTTTCTCATATGTAAGTCCATGCCTCCATGGTAGACCTTAGGTCCACCATAGAATTTTCCAAATTTAAAATATATCGAGTGTGTTCATCATATTAATTTATGTGGTATTTACTTACATTGTTTATAATATTTTATACATATAGTTAGTTAATACATAAAGGTAATTGTTGTATAGATTATCATCTTCAAAGAAATTAAAAGTATGTGTTATAAAAGATATATCAATTCTCTTTTATCTCTTATGCACTTGAAAGCGCGATGAAGTGTATATATAAGTATTTCCTGATTGAAGCACTGCATAGATAATTTTTTGGGAAAAAATTACTAAAAATTTAAATATTTAATTCAGAATAATAAAAATACCATTTGTCACATCACATAGTACATTCTTTCTCGAACGTGTTCGATCATCCGATACTGCAAAATATGTTTCTCTAAAAACTTTAAACATGAAAATTTTCTATTATCCAGCAATATTTGTTAGACAAATGTGCAACTCTAGAGGGGGGGTGAATAGAGTTGTTTTCAAGAATGTGCGTTTTTCGCGTGTGTGAAATAATAAAATCGCAGGAATAAATAAAGAGAGTAAGGGAAAGAAGAATACCGAGATTTATACGGGTTTACCACCTCGTGGCTAGTCCAGTCCTCCGAGAGACTCTTTCGAAAGTCCTACTAATTTTCAAGCTTCAATGGGTGCTTGAAAAACCGGTACAACTTGAGAATTTGAATCACACAAGCCTCACTCTCTTACAACAACAAGACTTGAGTCACACAAGTCTTAAGAACAACACTCAAATGAAATTGAGTTTACAACACAAGAATGAAAGCTCACACAATTGAGCAAAGTAGTATTGAAGAATTAAAGCTCTATGAATGACAACTTCTTTAGCACTCAAAGAAAATATTTCTAACTCTCAAAAATAATATTTTGATGAGGAAGATCAAGAAAGGAATGAATATAGCTCAAACGGTATATTAGAGTGCAAGAGTAGTGTTTGGAAATGGAGGAGAATGAGGGATTAAATAGGCTGAGGATAAAAGATCCGTTGGAGCCACTAAAAAGAACTAAGAATAGGCACCAGACAGAATTAATCGATTAAATTAGGGACTTTAATCAATTAAAGTGTACAGAAGCGAAAAGGCTTGAATGCAAAGGTGGAATTAATCGATTAAAAAAGAGAGAAAAATCGATTAGCTTGACTGCTTAAACTAATCGATTAAATGGAGCAATTTAATCGATTAAGGGGCTGTTTGACAACTTCTGAATAGGTAAGTGCTGAATCAGTAAGAGGTCTGAACCATTAAATGCTGAACCAGTAAGAGGTCTGAACCATTAAGAGCTAGTATATTGCTTAACTATTCAGAGGCAAATGTCTGATCAATTCAGATAAGAGGTCTTAACCATTCAGACTCTGTATAATACTTAACCATTCAGAGGCAAATCTCTTAACCATTCAGACATCTGAACCATTAAGAGGCTGAAACAAACAGTCTGAATCATTAAGTGCTGAACCATTCAGACATCTGAACCATTAAGAGGCTGAAACAAACAGCCCTTAAGTCTATTGGCCTGAGAAAACCAGCGCTGAGAAATTGGATCTAATCGATTATTTTAAAAAATTTAATCGATTAAAATGAAAATAATGCGCAAACATGAAGGGCCCAAGCCAAGCGCGATGAGAAGGGCATTGGCTTCTTACTCGTTGTTTTGGACAACGAGAATATCAACGGACGCTCCTCAAAGAATAACGTCTCCTATTCAATGTATTTGAGTAGGGGAGAAAAAAAAGTGTCCAAAAATTATTTTGTGTGTCAAACGATGTACAAAAAATATTTAAAGTGTATTTTTTCTTATAAAAAATGTGTATCCAAAAAATACTTTTAAGAAATTTTGACACACTATTTTGAAACTGACTCAGTAAAATATTTTTTGACAGAGGAAAAATAATTTTTCAACTAACTTAGAAAATAATAGTTTTTATCTCAAAAAAAATTTGTTTATGCAGAAGTTATTGTCATCCTTACAAAAATTCCTAGACTCAATAAAAAAGGTCTTCAGAATCTTCACTTCACTTCAAAAACTGCGTAGGGGTGAGCGTTGATTTTATCACTGAAAAAATCTTGATACGCCTCTTTGCTTTTCTCGATACGAAAAATAAATTTCCGATCAGCTTGAATTTAATCATCCTGTTTGTCATTCATCAAAACAAAAAAAATATATTCCAAAAGAAATAATAAAGGGGTTTGAACTCATGTCCAACAATATTTGTCACCTTGTGGTCGATGGTGGGATGAATAAATAAGCAAGGATATTACTTATTTATATTGTTTTGACAATGATGAAAAAATACGCACATTTTCTATGTTTAAGAGTTTTATTTAGTAGTCATTACACTTATAATAATTAATATTATACTATAAATATTTTGATTAGTAACAATGGTTAAAAATTAATTTCTTATAAATAAATTCTCCCGTACCAAGTCTTCATCTTTTTACAAAGTTATTAATGAAAAATAGTAATTTTGTGACATAAATTTATTAATTTTTACAAAGTTAGTAATGGAAAATAATAATTTAAAAATAGAAAATACTAATTTTAAAATAGAACATACTTGTTACTTGACTTAGAATTCTTTTAATATATACGAAATAAAATTAATACTCTATTAAATAAACATGCCAATAAAATCCCTTTACTTTGTATATATTTATTTCTCTTTTTTCAAAAAAGGGAAAATCTCTCCAATTAGTACTAATTCAAAGCATAAAAACATTTAGATGTAATTCTCTTTAATGAATTATGATAAAAACGTTTTTAAACGCGATTATGCTGAGTAACTTGTGTGTAACCAATACAAAACTTACTTTCCATAGATTTTTTTTGTTAACTATGTGCTTGTTTGGAAAGAGCGTTTTCAATCAGTGTTAGCGTTTTGGATAAAATATTTAATGGTGTAGATTAATTCGGAAAATGTTAATGCTAAAGGCTACCGTCAGATAGCCTTTTCAAAACGCTAACGCTAATCTCTAACACTGATGCCAAACGGGGCTTATATCTTTAAATATCGCTTAATGACATGGTGTGCTGACATGTCAAAAAATTACCTAGTCAGTGTGCCACATGTCACAATTGTCATGTTATTAGTCAAAGGTAGCGGGTAAATTTCAGTAATGGTACCTGAACTTTCACTGGAATTTCGAAATGGTACCTGAACTTTAAATCCTTTTACAAAAATACCTGAACTTACATAATCCTTTCATTAAAATTCCATTTACCCGTTTCAAGTTTAGCTTCCGGTCATTTGGGCTAAATTAGAATTTTATATATTTTAAAATTTTCAATTTGATTCCATTTCTTTTTTCTTCTTCTCCCCCCTTCCACTTCTTACATTTTTTCTTCTTTCACCTCTTTCTTCTTCTTCTTCTTCAAAGCTTCCCACACCCCATCCCACTCCCAGCCCCACCCCGCCTAGCCCCAGTCTCTCCCTTCCTCTTTTTTTTTAGAATGGGTGGGGTGAGGAAGAAGAAGAAAGGGCTAAAATAAGAAGAAAAAGAAGGGAGTGAGAGGGAGAAGAAGAAGAAAAAAGAAATGAGGTCAAATTGAAAATTTTAAAATATATAAAATTCTAATTTAGTCTAAATAACTTGAAGTTAACCTGGAAACGAGTAAATAGACTTTTAGGAAAATGATTATGTAAGTTCAGGTATTTTTGTGAAAGAATTTAAAGTTGAGGTAATACTTCAAAATTCAAGTGAAAGTTCAGGTACCATTACTAAAAATTACCCAAAAGTAGCAAAAAATTGCCATGTAAATCTCTCACTTGTCGTAATTCCATTCCGGAACTCAACTCTCAAATTTTGTATACAAAATACTTGTGGTCTACCACAACATTCATAAATTTTCTTGCCTGGAAGTTGCGCCGTCTTTGCTTCGTCTAGCTTTCTCTCTCATCATTTTACGAGGGGAGGATTTTCAAACACATACAAAAGATGACAGCTACCCATTTGCAATGCTGTAAGGAATTCTTTTAAGACGCATTTCGCGTTTTGCGCGCTCTCCCTCTTCGTTCTCAGATCAGATCTGATACCGGAGGGTAGGGTTCGAAGCCCGATCAGGTTCGATCTCGCATTCAATCAATTAGATCGTTCCATTCATCTGTTTTGTGCATCTCTTTGATTACATTCAATGATTTTGCTCTGTTCTGGGAATTCGGACCTGTTCCATACATTTCATTGCCTGAATTCGAAGCCGTCTTTATTTTATCGTTTGCTTAATCTAGATTCAGCTCTCTTATTGTTGACTTTCTTTCCCTGATCTTCATATTATTTTACTCGTATTATTTATCACAATACCATAATGAATTTATGTATAACACCATATGGTTTTGACACAGTCCGCTTTTTCTTCAAGGCACACATTTTCCCCATTTTTACTAGTTGCTGCGCTTATTCATGAAATCATTTTAGATATATTCACTAAGTTCTTGAATTCACACGAATGAGTGAGAACATGTGTGCATACATGTTTTCTGATTTGATAAAAAATTGAGGATTTTTTTGACAAAGGTTTAGCTTTGGGCAAATATGAGATTAAATCAAAATGTCACATGAATGGGTGAGAATATATGTACAGGCATATTTTTACTTTCGATGCAATTTTGGGCATTAGACTAATTAATGCATCAAAGGTTGAAAACATCCTCTCTGTTCTTTACCGGGTTAAGGTTGCGTATATGTTGACCCCAAACCCTCAATGTACTGACTTTGTTGTTGTCGACTAGGAATTGATGTTATTTTTCAGTAAATTTATCTAAATACTTCCGTAAATAAAATGACAATTGTTGGGGTTTTGAATGGACTATTTGCAAAACTGAGTAATCTGGATGATTGTCTGTTTTTAAAACCATGTAGGTTCTGTTTGGTTGAGATGTCTAAAGTTGTTTAGAATTTGTGTCTTTGTTTCAATTGTTTCTGTTGTGATGTAAAATTACTTAGAATGTTTTTTATTTTTTTAAGTATTTAGAAAAAAAGAGAATATGTATTTAAATTGTATTTCTAAAAAAATTGGGGGAGCAATAGGAAATAGAAAAAACCTCTACAGAGAAATACGAACAGCTCTGATTTGGAGCTGTTGGACTGCATTTCCCATCCCATGCTGCAAATGCATTTCTACCATTGGAAACAAATGGGGACATATTTTGTAATTTTTTCTCTTCTTCCTTTTATTTCATTTGCTGCATGCTGGGTTTTGGGTTGTCTTTTTTTATGGGAGGGTGTGTGGGTATGTGGCAAGGAAATACGGGGTATTTTTTTGTTTCAAAGATTCTATTTTCCAAAAAAATTTGAACTTGTATTAACCGTGCACTAATCTCTATGCCTTGGATGTATCAAGTACAAGGGTAGGAAAACAATTTGTGTAGTTGCTAAGGTGAGGGCTTCCCATTCATTGCGAATAGAGCTGAAAGAGTCATTATTAACAATGTTTTAGTTTTAGTCACAATGTCACATTAAACTCCCCTCGCTTCTTACTTCCTATGACATTTTGGGGAGTAAATGTAGAAGAGCCTTTGTGCTTTCACAAGGGTCACAGGACTCACAGGGGTAAGACTGTACATATTGACCCCACCTAGACACCAACTGTGTTGGGATTATACCGGGTTGTTGTTGTTGTTGCTAAGGCGAGGGCTTCTTAACCTTAAGTTTGCAGTTTGTATGGACTAACCTTGCCTTGCGGCCAATACTTGGCAAGTTTGTTTGTGATTATTCTAATTCATTCTAATTTCAAATGATCCAAGGAATTATTGGTGCAATATGTTCAAAACAATAATAACATACGCTAATGTATGACTATTTGTTTTTCAGTAGCACACTGTTAAGAGGGGTCATACTTTGTGAGTGGCTTGATAATTACAGGTCAGAATGAAGAAGGCCTTCGATCAAACCGTGCGAGACTTGTAAGTTTGTTTCATTTATAAAATGATGTACTTGGGGGGGGGGTCACAGGAGTAAATACAGTTTTACTGTGTACTATGCAGTTTGCATTAAAATTCATTTTACGCTCTCCAAGAGCCTATTCACTGGGATTCTGTTCAAATATTCCTCCATTCCATTGAGTGTTGAGCTTGCATATTCAGGTTTTATGGTGTTTTGCAATTTTTATTTTTTGCAGAAAGAGGGGGGTCAACAAGAAAGTTCTTAAAGTCCCTTCAATAGAACAAAAGGTAAGACTTTTATTTGTATGCATTATTTTTTGAACAACTGTCATCAATGCATAATGTGCTGCTGTTTGTCAAAAAGTTATGGTTGCTGAACTATTTTAGGGATTTTATTATGCTGAGGGAATGCTAAAATGTCTTTTCCCCTTGAGTTTGTTACGCATTCCAATAAGATCCTGCTTTCAACTTAGCTAAACTCTGTATAAGCACTTCTTTTTCTTTATTGGGGTTTCTTGTGAATTGAACTTTTGCAGTGTTTCCTCTTTTCAGCACTCAAATATTTTCATGCATCTTTTGTTGTTTAGTGGAATGGTTAAACACAAATGTTGATTTTTGGTATATTATTATGTTGAGGGAATGCTAAAATGTCTTTTCCCCTTGAGTTTGTTACACATTCCAATAAGATCCTGCGTTCACATTAGCAAAACTCTGTATAAGCACTTCTTTTTCTTGATTGGTGTTTCTGGTGAATTGAACTTTTGCAGTGTTTCCTCTTTTCAGCACTCAAATATTTTCATGCATCTTTTGTTGTTTAGTGGAATGGTAAACTGATAATTTGCTATATCTGAGACAACTAATGGTGTTATTTTCCTCCTTTTGGGTCAATGGTGTTATTTTCAGGTGCTAGATGCTACTAGCAATGAACCATGGGGTCCTCATGGAACACTTCTTGCTGATGTTGCACAAGCTACAAGGAACTAGTAAGTTAAAGCTAATACTTTTTTGGTAATTCACGTTCTTTAGAAATGTATGTATTTCATGTTTTTTACAGCTTTGAGATATTTAAATTATACACAGCAATGAATACCAAATGATAATGGCTGTAATTTGGAAGCGCGTCAATGACACTGGGAAAAATTGGCGGCATGTTTACAAGGTTTGACTATTGTCTTAAATATACCATTGAGCAATAACTTGTGCTAATAAATTGTCTAGAGTATATATCATTCTTTTTGCATGAGAATGACAGATAGATTAGAGTATCTATGTGCTGAATGCTAATGCATCAAAGTATCCATCGTTCGTTTTGCACCACTGATCCAAATCACAACTGAATACTTGCACAAACAATTGTATAGTTGTATGAATTTTTGAGGCATCTGTGTTATTGAATATTTGCAGCTACTCATCATGGCTGCACTCTTTATGTGCAGTGTTTCAGAAAATTAGAACAGTTTTACTGATGTACCCCGGAGTATTTTGTAAGTTATATGAATAGTTTTCTTCTTGAATCAAGATGAACTTTTTGGAAGGGTCAAGTCAAGAGGTGGATGAGGTCAGATTGGGCTATTAGATATATGATTAAACGTTCTCTATGATCTTTCAAAATTGACTTATATGGGGTTGTAGGACAAATACTTGAAAATGGTAAAATGGTTTTTTGTAGTAGGGGACTAAACAATTCTTTTGAAGCATTTTTAAAAATTTTATATTTTATTCCAATACACCCATTGCTTGAAAATGGAAACATGTTGTTGTACACCCATCGCTTAAGAAAAACCCAAAAATCATGTTTGGTTCAAAACAGGAATAAAAGAAGAAACATCTAATAGGAAGAAAGGTCCGATATTACTCCAAACTTGAGAATAAAAGTAATACCACAATAGGATAAAGATGCTTTGATACAGTCTAGTACCTTTGAAGTTAAGCGTGCGTTTGACAACCATTTATCTGACCACGTGACACTGAAGCGCCAATTATGGCCTTATGGGAGGTGACCATTTTATGTCCTAGATTTCTAACCAATGATAAGATTTACCCTATATTAGTCGATGTATATGTTCAGCACATCTCGTAAGATTGCACATTCTAGCACTTGTCCAAGGTCTCTGAGAAGACATCGAAAGAGATGATCAACAGAATGATGTGAAGCTACGATGGAGAGGATTCTGCTCGCCCTTTACAGAGAAGAATCCAAGAGAAACTTGTGAGTTGGCCTGCTACATGCAGGTTGATGGAATCCTTAGAAAGCCGATATTCATATACCAAGCAAAAATTCTTGTGACGTTCGGATATAAAGGCTTCACATATACTTGAGCTGATACCATAGTTGTCACGGGGACTAGGCGAGGTCGAGCTAATACATGATGGGTCCAAACGCCAAACTACCAAAATCTAGCTGAGATATTCACCCAGCATGCCTATTCAATTGGAATTAGTCACATCAGGATTAGATCTCGAGTGAGGCTTGATCATCTGTCCTCAAGGTTATCCCCATTGATGCACAAAACTTTGGTATATAGTTGGTCACCAAGCATGTGTAGGTATTAGGTAAATATCGTAGAAAGCCGATTTCTAAATATAGTACACCTTACCCCGATGTACTGTGTTTCTGCAGAAAGTTGTTTACTATGTTTAAGACAAGTCAAGGGATTGTCTGGGCCATCAAAGTGAGGAAACTCCAATTCAGATATTAGAATAACGAGAAACTAACAAATGGTCCTCTGGTTTGTGAAGCATGATAGGGGATGTGGTGCAGGGAGCAATGCCTGATCTCTTGGCATTGGCTACGCCATCTGGGAATCGTAGAAAACGTTTTACCATTCTGACAGCTGCTCTTCCACGGCACTTCGTCTTAGGGTCACTCTATCAAATATACCTTCAAGGCAGTTGCCAAAATATCATCATCATCATCCATTGTCCATTTTCTGTCCTGGATTTTCACACCAAATTGTTTAAAGTGCATGTAGGCTAGTATAAGCCATTAAGCCCTCATTCAATACCTTTAGGATGTCAGAAGAAATAGACAAGGAACAATGATGTAAAGCTATGGAAGAGAAGAATTCTGCTTGCCCTGGGCAGAGAAGAAATTGAGTGAAACTTGCCACATGGCACTGCTCAAATATAGTTAGAATAATATCAGTCCATGTAAAAAAATAAATAGAATCTATGTCCCAAAAAATTGCTAATGCTAAAGCAAATATGACACATGACGAATAAGTGAAATTCTTGCACTGCAATTTTTTCATCCTTGGTGCCGGTGATGTTGCTTTGTTAATGAATCACATCAACGACCTTCTCTCTTGTGAGGTTCAATTGTTCCATTTAAAATGGGGTTGGACATGGATAGTTCTTGATTACCTGTCTTAGGGGCAATTAACATAAAAGTAGCTGAGGTGGTGATTGGTGAAAGAAGATGATTTGCGGTTTGGCACTCAAGCTTAGATCCTATTGTAAAACCTAGCTCAAGATTGGAGTTTTAAGCCCAACTTAAGTACTCATCCACTTTTTTGTGGGTCCAACATGGGATCATATCATAAGAAGAGGGGTAAGTTAAGAGAGGAACATGTAAGGCAGAGAACTTTAGTACAAAGGAGGCAAACATCAATTTATATCATTTGTTCCTTTGTTTTGGTTTTGTATTTGTTATTTTATTGTGCTTTGATTTATGTCTTTGCTTTTGTAGCTGACCAATGAAAAATCATTTATGTTTGCATCTACATATGGCCCTAGAATGTGGTCGTCAGTTTTTTTTATTTTATTTCTATTGACTGAACTACTTACAAAGCTAATTCTCTGTATCATTATGTAGGCCTTAACTGTTTTAGAATACTTGGTGGCTCATGGGTCAGAACGTGTCATTGATGAAATCAGGGAACATTCATACCAGATATCAGTAAGTTCATTTTAATTTATTTTGTAATTTGTAATTTGTAATTACAGATTTGGAATATGCTAGATGACCAGTTGGAGTTCTCATGTTTTTCTTGCTTGCTCAGACATTGTCCGAGTTTCAATATGTTGACTCTAGTGGAAGAGATCAGGGGAGCAATGTAAGAAAGAAATCTCAAAGTCTTGTGGCTTTAGTGAACGACAAGGAAAGGATACAAGAAGTTCGTCAAAAGGCAGCTGCAAACCGGGAAAAGTAAGTTTTAACATGAGTATTTATTTATAACACTATGTTAATGTTACATGTTTGGATGTTGGAGCTAAGATGATGCAAGAATATTATTTTTATATAATTCAATCGATACAAAGTTTGCTAGAATACAAAATTGATTCTGCAAATTATTATTTTTGGATATCCAATAATTTCAATTGCCCTAAGGCATACTTTTTATATGAGTAACAATTATAATTACTCCCTCCATCTCATAATTGATTACACTCTTTGTATAACGTCCAACACCCCACGTCTTAATATTTAATTTACAAATTGGTTTTAGAAATTAAAAATACAACCCACTTATTAAAAATTAAGGTCAGAAGTTCTACAAAACAAGAGGTGACAAGATTATTTTATTTTTTCAAATAATCATTGAAAACACACAAGTAAACAATAGTTATCGGGAGGACAGAATAGTAACAGGGTAATCAATTTTTGGACGGAGGGGGTATATGTTATTTGTTCATTCCATTTTATTTAAATGCACTTTTATTTTGTTTTTCTTTTATTTTTATTTTATTTTGTGTTTCTTTTAATTTATTTTAGATACCGTAACACATCACCGGGCAGTATGTATCGTCCTGGTTCATATTCAAACTCAGGGGGTTATGCAGACAGATATGATGATGATCGTATTGGGGCCAGAGACGATGATCGAAATGGTTATGGAAGAGAAAGGGAATGGGGCGGAGATGAAGAAAGATATGGCCGGCACAGTGGAGATTCATATGGCCGTGAAGGGGAGCGCTATGGTAAAGATTATGATGAACGTTTTAGCCGTGATGGATACAAAGATGATGACTATAGTGGAAGAGATCAGAGCATTGATGACTATCACTCTGGTGCAAGAAGTAAAAGTGCTGACAGAGAGAGAGATCATGCTTATGATGATGATGCTCAATATTCGTCCAGGTTTGCCTGTCTATTCTTACCAATGAATTTGCTGTTCTGGTGTTCTACATGTCTCGTTACTGTATACATTTTGGAATATCAAAGTTTGTTGGACCATGCCTTGCGAGGTTTTTCTCAAACAATCTAATATGCTTAGATTTCTAAAATGTGTAAAGTTCAGCATCATGGTAATGATGAGCATGGCATATTAATACAATTTTCAAAACTGATAGAAACTCACAATCACCTGCTTTATGTTTTAATATACATCTGGTCCCTTTTCCTTGTGTTTGCATTGTCAATTCCAACCTCTGGGCAGCATATCTTGATATGCGTTGTTTTATCACACTTCTCATGGTTTTAAATGTCTTGATCTGCATCTTAATTCAAGTTATGACACTACTTATGCTCAATGTTTTTAAAATATAGAGGTAGCGGTGACCCTTTTACTCCCTTCATCCTTTTTGAAGTGAATTTGTATGGTAATTGGCAAGTATTGATGTTAAAAAGTTATAAACAGTAAGAGTGAATGCAAGTCACACAAGCATTACTAAATATGGTAGGGGACAAATAGTGGGACAAAAGAAGGTAAAAAGAGAAAGTAGTTCTGAAGTTCATTTGGACTCCTACAATACTCAGTTGGGCTCCAGACCAGGTCCTACCCCCTATCCTCCACCCCCACAAAACTATAGCATTTTGGTGTGTGCGGCTGGGCACACGCATGTGTGCGCGCGCACTCATCTTACATCATTTATCAAATTTTTATTTGAGCACTAAGATATGAATGATGTTAAAGTAGTGTAAAATACAATGTGGTGTAACTTTAGCCTACTGTTGTGTGTGTGTGTAACAAATATGATGGGTGTCATCCAAATGGACTTTATACAAGTTCTAAAATGGTGTATTTCTTATTTTGTAATTTTATTTAGGATTAAATATGTTTTTGGTTCTTGTAAAATTAGTGAATTTTGTTTTTGGCCCCGTTGATTTTTTTTCTTAATTAAGTCCTCACAAAAAAAACTTTTTTTGCAAATGGTCCTCCCACTATTCTAGAGCTTGGGTTACATATGTTTTTGGGACCAAAAGCAACATGCCTAAATTAATAAAAAATTAGAGGGACCAAAAAAAACTGCTAATTTTACGGGAATCATTCACGTTTATCCCGTGCTCCTGATAGGTGGGAGGACCATTTGCAAAAAAAGTTTTTTATAGGGATACTTAAATAGACAAATTTAGAGGGACCAAAAAAACTCACAAATTTTACAAAGACCAAAACATATTTAACCCTTTTACTCCCTTCGTCCCAAAACTAGTCACAAACGCTATTCATGGGTTATTTCTTCTTTCTTTACTTATTTACGTTAATCATTTGTTGAAATAAGATAGTATGTCACATCTTATTTTACAGAGCAATTGATGCACTATTTAAATATATTAAATTTATTTTAAAATTTTGTATCATTAATTCATTATTTAAATAAATTGAATTGAAAATGATTTCACGCAACCATCGTAATCCCTTATGTGTATATAACCTACTAAGCAGGAACAAATATTTTAAGAGTGAGAGATTAGAAACAATTGAGTGAATCCCATGTGATGCATGGTCTCTTAGTTCTTGCATGGACCCATGGTCCACTTTACATTGTTGATCTGGGTCCATGATTTCACAATTTGATTATTTTCATGGTCTCTTAAGAAACAGTTTGATACCGAGTGAATACACTTTACTCGTATGCTAACTCAATTTCTTTGTTAGTGCTTCTGGTGGAGGGCTTGACCGGAAATATTCTGAGCAAAACATCAGTGCTCCTCCTAGTTATGAGGAGGCTGTTGGCGCTGCACAGAGTCCTACACCGATTGAAAGGTATCGGTATAACATACTTGTGCTATGTAACCTTTCTTTTACCTTGTCATCGCTCTTGGATAGTATAGATGAACCCAACTTTTATTTTAATTAAAAAAAGGGATGGAGAAACTTCATCAGCACACGCTCTTAAATCACCATCTCCTCATTCAAGTGGTAGTCCAGGCCAAGAAACCACAGTGCTTGCGCCAATACCTTCTGCTGGTTCAGCACCAGAAAATAAGGATATTAGTAACTTTGATGAATTCGATCCCCGAGCTGCTTTTGCAGGTAGAATGCATACACTTGCAATTTTTAAGTGTAGTTGATGCTTACCTTATTTTTGGTCATAACCCATTATACATATAATGTACTTCACTTTTGTGCATGAATCCTTGATTTTTGTAGGTGTTTTTTAACATTTCAATGATTTCTTGGTTAAATAGTCCATGCGATGTGAGTTGGGGATTCACTTTTGTATATGAATCCATGATTTTTATTAGTGTTTTTTAACACTTCAATGATTTCCTGGTTTAAATGGTCTATGCGATGTGTATTGATGATTGGGCCTGGTTTATTTTAGCAAACTGCTCACTGGTTATTTATTTTTCATTGTCTTAAGTCTAAACTCTGGAAACCTAAACTTGCAAAAGAAGTTTGTGCATTATTTTCTATCTTCTTTATCTAAGCTGTTTATTGATTAATCCTCAACTTGATTTGCTCCTCGGGTTTGCCATTTTCCTTTGCATGCCTTGTTAGTAAATTGAAAACAATCACTTTTTTGGATTGAGTTCAGTAACTAGTTTAATTATAAATGTTTTTTTGAAATCTAAATAGTGTTCAGTATAGTACCTCTTTCTGCTCTTTATTGTTTGGCATTGATAGAACCGTTCAAATTCAGCTGTTGACTTATTGGTTGCGAAGCAATTTGGCGTCTATAATTAATGGAGTGTCTTAGCTGCAGACTTGATGAGTGATGACAATGTGGTTATTTATTTTAGAAACCAAATATTATCTGATTACTTTTTGAGCAGCTGCTCCCCCTGGAACTGAAATGGATCTACTTGGCTCCCTCTCTGATTCATTCTCCTCCAATACATTGGCCCTTGTGCCTGCTGCATCAACTGATGTGACATCCAATGGTGATCCTCCCAGTACAGCTCAGCCCGTAAACACCTTTGCTACATCACCAGCTTCTACAGTTGCTAATCAGGTTGCTATTACTTTTGGATAGTATCTTATCTCTGCATTTTCATTCATGTTCATACTAGTTGATCAATCCTTTCAATATTTTCTATCTGACATTTTCTTAGATCTGGTCTGTAACTAGGGTTGTAAACAAATTGAATCAAATCGAATATTGAGTATTATTTGAAGAACTATTTATATTCGTATTCGATTTGAATAAAATTTGCTAAGTATTCAAATTCTGAAATTTGCACAGAGTTTTTGTATGAGTATGAATTTGCTTACATTTTTCTTACAATTTTAAATGTGTTTTCAAATATATGAATAATAATTTGTAATTGTTCTATATATTTATTGTATATTCTTATGAGTATGTAACATGCTTTAATAAATCATGAATATATTTTAGACCGGAGGTATGCTTTGTATTTAATCATTATATTGATAGAATATTTTAAAAAGTATGTGTCATATTTTAATAGGGTGTTGCTAAATCCACTCTAAAAGTCTATCCACACCTTTCAGCTAGTTTTGCTAAATCAATAGTCCCACACCATCAAACTTATATTAATGTGTTGGATTTAGCAAAATTAGGTGAAAGGTGTGGATTTAGTCATTTAGGGAGTGGATTTAGCTACACCCATTTTACTAATTTAATCATTGAAAAGTATGAGGTGGACAGTGGGTGCAATTGGGGACTTTGGGGTTGGAAGGGGGCGGTTTGGGGTGGGGGTTTATGAGGGGGGTCTTGGGGGGTCAGGGAGGGACCATCAATTCAACAAATTGATGGTCAGAAATGATAGTGCTTAATTACAAAAACGGAAATTTTCTTTTACAAAAACAAATCCCAACCACTAGATCATATCCAATGCATAGCTTTGATGCATTCTAACTTCTCTCCTTTATATCTTTTTTTCGTTTTATCATTACACACACACGCCCGTACACACACACACTTAAACATGAATATATTAGACAACTTGCCAAATCGAGTACATATCTATTCATATTAAAAAATTAAATGAATGATAATGAATATTGAAATTATTATTTTTATTTGATTAATTTGAATAACAACGATAATTCCGAATACAAATCCCGAATCAAATCAAACTTATTCGTTTCATTTACAATCCTATCTCTGAGTATACATTGCACTTTCTACTCTGGATTTGATTATAGTATAGGGAGTCCATCTCCCCATTCAAGAGAGCAGTTAGTAACACGAGGAAAATCTAAACAGTGTGATGACATGCCATGTTTTGGGCAGTAAGTGAAGCAAAGCATCAAGGGTACTCACAGAAACAACCTCTTTATTTTTAAGGGGGCAAGGTTGTGTACATTTTACCTCCCCCCCACCCAAAGACCCCAACAAAGTGGGGATTGTACTCAGTTTGTTGTTGATGACCCCACGCCATGAGAATACAGAACTCAGAAGTTTGGAATGTCCTACTTGCTATAAATGAACCTTAAATCCCAAGTCAAGATCTCACATGCATACAACAACAACAACAACAACAACAACCCAGTTAAATCCCACAAGAGTAGGGTGTGGGGAGGGTGTGTGTACGCAGACCTTACCCCTACTCGAAAGTAGAGAGGCTGTTTCCAAAGAGACTCCCGGCTCAACGTCGAAAGTTGCATTGCTTGACTAACTGCTACTTCATTAATTAAAGAAGCGCAGACAGTTTACAGATCCATTTTGATTTATTCCATCACACCCCAAAGCCAAAAAATGGTGAAATTTTGGCTCCATAAAAAAGAAAAAAAAGACCGAATGAAAAATGCTACTAGCTGAAGTACTTCGTTAGTATTAACAGATATGCTTTTTTCAGGCTTTTGATGATCCTTTTGGCGATGGACCTTTCAAGGCTATTCCATCCTCCAATGACATAGCTTCTCAACATCCTGCCCCATATATTCCTTCCTCAATTCAGAGTCCTAACGTTCCTCCACCAGGCTCGCATAAGGTGGACATATCAGATAATTTCGGAGGAACCCATCATGTTGCATCGCATTCAGCACCGGATGCTTCCAGTGTACCACTTCCGTCATCCAACCAACAATATGGTCAACAAGAGTTATCCAGCTCTAACCATGAAATTGATATTCTGGCTGATATTCTCCCACCATCTGGACAGCCGCAGAATGAGGTTCCAGTCCCAGCTAGTCAATTTGCACCAGAGACGGGAATTCCATCACATCAAGCCACTCAACATTCTTCACATACGGAGTTCATGCCACATGCTACTCCTGCACTTCAGACTGGTTTTGCATCTTCAAATGGCCCGGCATCTCTACATGGCCCTGCTCAGCAACCTGGTCCAGCATCATTGGTTACTTTTTCTGCTCAGCCTGGACTTCAGTCACAGACGAGTTTTCCAACCAGTCAACCTGTTCAGCAAATTGGACTTCCTTCTCAAACCAGTCAACCTGTTCAGCAGATTGGGCTTCCTTCTCAAACCAGCCAATCTTCAAATATGACAGGCCCTGCAGGCTTTCCAGCTCAGGCACCACAAACAGTTTTCATGGCACAAAGTGGTCAACCTGCAGCTCTTGCCGGATTTCCACCTCATGGGAGCTCTCTGGCCCAACCTGGGTTTCACGCTTCTAGTGGCCCCCAGTCCTTGCAACCAGATGCTAGATTTTATGGGGGTTACAATACATTACTTGGATCAACTGGTCGATCTGCACCCCCCATGTACCCTCAACCTTCTACTGCAGCAGTGACACCTCAATCACCACAAATTCAATTAAATGCTTACACTGCTCAGCCTAATCCTTCTCCGTCGATCGGTTCTTTCACTGCTAGCTCTCAGCCAGCTAAGGATAAGTTTGAGACCAAATCTTCAGTTTGGGCGGATACATTGAATAGAGGATTGGTCAACTTGAACATCTCTGGATGTAAGAGTTCTCTTCTAGTATCTGCTTATGTCAATTAATTTCAAATTTTTCCACCTGTACTTGCCTAACCCTTATGTCTCTTATGCTATACATGTGCAGCTAAAACAAATCCATTAGCAGATATTGGGGTTGACTTTGATGCCATTAATCGAAAGGAGAAGAGGATGGAGAAGCCCACAACATCAATATTGACCTCAACCATTACCATGGGCAAAGCAATGGGTAGTGGTTCTGGAATGGGCCGTGCTGGTGCAGGTGTTCTCAGACCTGCACAAAACCCTACGGTAGGTATAGGTTCAGGCCTGGGACAGGTCAATCAAGGGGGAGGCATTGGGATGGGAAATTTAAGAGTGAACCAGCCAGTGGGAATGGGGATGAATAGTCAAATAAGCATGGGCATGGGACCCGGAATGCCGATGCAACAGCCTACAGGATTTCCTCCCGGATCATATTTACCAGGAAATTACAATCCTACCACCGGGACGCACAATTATTTTGGCCAACAGCCCTATGGCGGTAGCGGCTACCGATGAGGCCTATCCAATTAATGAAGAAGTGGAAGAGGTGCTGCTGATGTTGTATTTTTACCCGAAGGTGCGGATATTACTGTTTTCAATTGAGAGCGGGCTTGACATGGAGATTTATACTCTAGTCATCGAATGCATTTTCGGAGCATACATGTATGTAAGTAATTCTCTTCTGAAGCAATCGAGCCAGTTGCTTAAAAATGTGGTATCTGATTATTATAAACACTGTAGAAACTGTGGGGATTTTATTTTGTGTATTGTAGCCTTGGTGGGCTACCCTTCCTCAGGTTACGTTACCTCTTCCATTTTGGCCTTTACCCTATACCCCCTCCCTATACATGTGCTTGTAAAATTTTGTGATACTGTTTAATACACAGTTCCATGAACAATAATAAATGTGCTGATTCTTTTTCTTCGAAAGAAATGTTCCATGCTGTTTTCTTGAGATAAAACCATCTGTTTTTATCATTGTGAATCTTGGTTCTGTATGTGTACACATGAGTTTTATTAGGGAGCATTGTGAATATAAACATTTCAAGTGTCCTATTCCGCAAAGGACACCCCGAGGTTTGTGTCCAAGTTTTGAGTTTCTTATTGTGTTGCCGTGATCTTGACGGTATGAACTGTTGGCCTTGGTACAGTGTACCTGGTTACAGAATAGCCAAATATTGAAATAAATATGTTAAGGGCATACCAAGATTTTGAGACCAAATGCACACTAAGGCCAATACAGACAGACATTTAATGTTTGTGCACACACAGACATTAAATGTCTGGGTGTGTCTGTATTGGTCTTGGTGTGCATTTGGTGTCAAAATCTTGAGGTCCCCCTAGTACTCATATGGAAACTCGGATATATGCAATATAACAACTTGGTATAATTCCAATTGTTTTGGGGTGGATGTGGTTAAGATGTACTAGTCTTACCGGTAAAGACAAGGAGACTATTTATGTTAGACTCTAGATTCGTTCTTGAACATATTGCCCAAATTTTTATATAAAGTAAGAAATAAGAGCATTTTAATGTGGTTTAAGTTTAGTCTATCCTTTGTTCAAAACAAGTGTGTTGAAAAATAATCGGTGGTTGGTACTATTTCTGTTTTCATAAAAACTTGGTGGCACCGTGTAGTTCACTAAAAACAAAATGTGCACAATAATGATCATATCTTGTTGTGGCCTCAAGTGGATGACACTGCATGGATCAAAGCAAAAGTGGGGTTTCAATTTCAAAGAGGCATTTGCAACCTCGCTTAAGACTTTTTTACACCATAATGCAAAGGTTTATTAGGAGTACATGATGAGGTTGTTTAGTTGTTCAATAGGTAGGCAAAAAAATATAAAGATTTGAGTTCAATTTCTGACAACGATAAGTGATGATCATATTTAGCATGAAAATGTTAAATGTACCAAAAGATTGAAGTTTCTATCTCTTTAAAACTAGGGTGGAACTGATCATTTCAAGTAAATTGGAAAAAGATTGAAAAAGTTGAAAGTTAATTTTTATTACCGAAAATGAGTCTAAAACCGATAAAAGACGGGGTAGTAAAATTATCTTTCAACACAATTATATGGTATGGACTATAACTTTTTAATTTAATTCATTACTCACTGCTTTGACTTTCACGGTGTCAAAAAAAAGTTTGTTTAGATTTAGACAAATTAATATGTAGTCTTTGCTTGGATCCACACTTATTTTATGGACTTTACTACTCCCTCCGTTCCACAAAACCCTTCCTCTTTCGTTTTTTTTTGCTTTCCACAAAACACTTCCACTTTCTATTAAAAAATCACTTTTACCCTTACTTTTTCATACCCTACCTATCACATCATACTTTTTCTCTAATAACCTAACTATCACATCTTACTTTTTCCCATCACATCAGGGGCAAAATTGGAAAGTCAACCAAAATTACACTTTCCTTATTTTTCCCCAAAATCAAAACCGGAAGGGTTTTGTGGAACGGAGGGAGTATATAACTACCATCAAACAGTTACTTGTTAGTCCATCCACAAATCATTTAAAGACTTTACAACTACGGAAGCACAACTCTGAGATTTAGGGGTGAGCAAGTACCGAACCGATACCGAAATTTCCCGAAAAAACCAAGAATACCGAACTGAAAAATACCAAACCGAAAAAGTACTGAGAAGAAACCAAACCGTACCGAACCGAATGGTCGGTACGGTATTTGGGAACGGTACGAGGTGACGTACCATACCGAAAATTCTGAACCAAACATATATACTAAAATATTACGGAGTATAAAAAATAATACCCCGGAGTAATATTTTTCATATTCCTTCACTAAATAATACGGAGTAATTTTAAAAAATATTGGTTCAAGTTTTATCATGTGTAAGTTATACTTTTATTTGAGTTTTAGTTTTTGTGTATAAACATAAAAGTATTCACAAAGATTCGAAAACTCTTTGTTGTCATTCATTTTTTTAGTTTGTGAAATATAAACTATGTTTTGATATGCATCCCTTGCATTTAAATATTCATTTTTTTAATTTTTCACGTTTTTTTTATTTAAATTGACTTTTAATTTTCAAAAATAAAGGGGCATTGTTAAACTTTAAGGTGTAAAGTAGGTATGTATATTCATCCCGATTTGTACCGAAACCGATATCGAACCATCCCGAACCATACCGAACCGATATGTCGAGATCGGGATCGGGATCGGTACGGTGTAAAATCCCATACCGAACCGAAATATTTGGTACGGTATCGGTACGGGCTAAATATCGTACCATATCGTACCATGTTCAACCCTACTGAGATTTATGCAGAGGAGAGACAAAGAATGTCAACTATTTAATACTCAACCATAAATTTATTTTGAGACGATTATAAAAGAAAAACTAAATATATTTTTTGTGACGGAAGGAATTTATTGTTGTATGTAGTCAAATAAATAGGGAGTAAAAAAACTTTCCCCGTCACCAATTAATCGTCTTATGTCTTTTATCTTGTCTAAAAAATGACCTTTATTATTTTTGTAATAAAATAAAGAGTGTGTGGTTTACAATTTTTCTCTTTCTCTAAACAAGTTTCAAGCATTCACATTAATGTAAACATTCCATCTATTGAAAAGTAAAGTTTTACTTTTCAATACAGTTTTTTAAATTTTGTAAGATCAAATTAAGATGATAAATTCAAGATAAATGAATAAACAACTAGAAGAGAGAAATGAGTCTAGTGACTCTAGTCCCACGCCCTTAATATACCTTTCCTATTAATCACGGTCAGAAAATTAAACCCGGTTGCTTCTCCTTCTATACAACCAAAACGCTGCACAATCAACATAATTCCTTTTTGTTAACCACAATTATCCCTGACATCTTATTAATTATCCCCAAAACCATCCCTTAATCCATCATAATTATCATTCCATATGTTAGGCAGAAAATGGC